GTGTTTTCGTCGACGGCGCTAAAAACCGCCGCTGGTGCCTCTACGACGCCGCATGTCAAAATACCCCCTGGTAAAATTTCATTCACTTCTGCGGTCGAACTACTAACCCTGAGTCAGACATCGATCAGTGATTCACTGGCTAAGGCTGAAGAGCTGGGCGTCGACGCTAGGAAGATCAAGTCAATGTTGAAATACGTTGCTCCGTTTGCAGCTGTCAGAGATATCGAACCTCCGCCTCCACCTCCCATAATCGAATCAAAACTCACTGGACGTCATAGTATGTCATTCGAGGAGTATTTACAGATGCACTCCGACTTGCGAGATCGCATGGATGCCATGTACAACAAGAGCAAATGACATACGTCATTTTGAAATTTTACATGTTAGGCTCTTCCGTGAATTTTCTTTTTTTTAAACCAGAATGTTTTCAGTTTCGCTTTTCGAATGTCATTGGCTAATAGCTAAATAAATTTTAGTTCAGTGTTTTGTGCAGATTTTGTTTATTTATGTTTTATGAACATGTTTTTTACAGTAACTAAAATGTAACCAAAATTTAATTGTAAAGGGGGCAATGGCACGATGGATTAAAATAGTTTGCTTTGCATTTTCCAGGTGGTGAGTTCAAACTGAATGCTCGACATAAATTTTTTCTTATTTACTGTTAATTCTCTTGAATACGGAATTCGGATCATCATGCTTCGCCACCCCCTCCCGATAGCTACTAAGAATGAGCACAATGTGTAAATTGAGAGAAAATTAAATTTATATCTCTGGGCCATTTGATGGAGCTATTTTTGCAGAAAATTATATCGACGCAAATTTTGGAAGTAAAGAAAGGTTTGTAACCGTTAAGTAATTGGTCTCCAGTGGACTTTCTTGTTTTTCAGTACATTTTTACTGCAGCTTGTGGTGTGATGCTGATTTTTGTCCCCACAGGACTGCTATTTTGAAGATGACATTTGACGTTTAGTCGCTACACTGTATAGTCTTCCGCTGACTTCCCTTTCTCATAATGATACTCACTTATCTACATGAGAGGGATGAAAGGAGAGTTCTTCAGGCAAGATTTGAGCCAATGATCTCTTGTCTCCCTCTGATGTTCTACCTTCTAAGTAAGGTGACACTATCATGGACAGAAAACAAAGTAGCAGATCCATGCCGTGATTAAGTGTTGAATCTAATATTCATTAAATTACTTATTGAGATGCTTACTCTACAAAGGGAAAACGAATTTGTGTTACAGTTTAAATCTCAGGCTTGTTGGTACACTTTGGTAATGGGACCATTTATGGTGCCCTGTTTTATCACCGACCGAACCACGGTCGTATACTTTATACTAAATATATGCAGTACGTATTTACGGAGTACTGTCGTTCATATCTTCGGTTCATGGGAGCATGGACATGATTACAAAATTTTTAAGTATCTTCAAGCAGCCCTTCATCTTTGAATGGCGGGTTTTCATCTGTCTTCGTTGGCGCGTATTTTCATACGTTGTTTCTACTTTTTAGATCTCTATGAGCGTTTAAGATGTCACACGGTGTGCTTTTCGTGTCGCCTAAGCAGATTTCTAAGGTTTCTAGCCTTCCGTGCTGTACTCGTTGATCGCGTCAAAAAATTTGAGGCAAAATCTTGTTTCCAATTGCCTAAGGGGCACTTTAGACGGCTACAGTACTATGGTGTTTGAACACTTGCAATGTTTGATAAATCTCAGATGCGTTTATTCGTGAGATTTATTTAACTTGGGAATTTTCTGCTGATGACGACGGATGTTTTAGGGACAGATACTTATTATATGCTACCACGTAAGCATCGAAGTATGGGTTCGTACCGTAGGGTATGTTAATTAGCGTTTGATATCCAAAACCCACCCTGAGGAATCTGGTTTTTGGAGGAGTGCGCTTATCATTGTAATACATCGATAATAATGCGCCATATACTTCTTTTAAGATCATAACCAATGACTTGGCTAGATGCGACTTGTCTCTCCGAGAAGTTGGTTTGGAGAAGGTTTTCACTTCACGTATGTCAAAGACGTTTGAGACTCAACTCCTGTGTTTTTTTTCAATCGGTGCAATTATTTTTTCACACTCTGTAGGTGATCTAATAAACTTCTCTGCTCAGTATATTTTCTGTATGTTCATCTGGTCATATGCCCCTTATGTGCACTGATTCTGCACGTGTATAAAAACAATCAATGGGCAAATTATTGACAAACTAAGCCTTATTGTTCTGGCGACTTTATATTTAGCAATGTAACTTATTTCGGTACTTTACTTAAGTCTGATACTGCTTGAAGCTTGAAGCGTGGGCGAACGTTTGAGGATAATATACGAGCATGAGTTAAACGTAGTGTTTTGAGGATAATGGTATGTTTCGCAAAGTCGCGTGCGCGGTGTCCGGCGGTGTCGATAGCGCTGTGACCATCCACTTGCTGGCAAAGCGCGGACTCGATGTCACCGGCGTTTACATGAACAATTGGGACAGTTTCGACGAGACCGGAAAGTGTAGTAGCAACCAAGACATGCTGGATGCTCGAAAAGTTTGTGATACCCTGAAAATACCGTTTCTGACGATCGACTTTGTCAGACAGTACTGGCTGGATGTTTTTAAGTAAGAATCCGGATTGGCAACGCCTACTACATTTTGCGATCTTTTATAGCTACTTGATCGAATCGTATCAAAAAGGCTTCACTCCGAATCCCGATATAGTATGCAATAAGTGCATCAAGTTTGGCACGTTTCATGAGCATGCCATGGAGTTGGGATTTCATGCTGTTGCTACCGGTCATTACGCTAAGTCAAGTTTTGGAGACTATCTAGAAAAATATGACCCTTGTGAAAGTAAGTATTATAATTTGTTTCGTTCATGTTCAAGTCCCGTTATTCTTATCGATTTGGGGGGGGGAGTGCAGCAGTTACATCACGTTTCTCCAACGGAAGCGGTACTGCTTCAACTGGGAAAGCTCCATGAATTGGATTTCAGGGCAGCCAATGGTGGATATGTTTAAGTCAGCCGGTCATCAATATACCTTCACTCCTTTCCATGTACTTCACGAATGAAATTTGACAAAAACGATCACACCAGAAACGCGTTCATACTGTGTACACCTGCTTTAATAACGACGAGGCTGACTGCTGACAGGGTCCGTGAGTTGATCATGTGAAATGATGGCCAAATGACTACATTTAGTAACATTTTGTAAACTGAAAATGTAACGGAAGAGATTGAGATCGTAGAGTTCGACGTATCTGTGAGAGGTAGCTGAAAACCTGACAGAACTCGAATGACTTGCAAGGTAATGAATGTTACAGCACACTTCGTTGAAATGTGCTTTAGGAAGTAGATAAAAAAGAAAGAAAGGATAGGATATATTTGCTGCTAAATGTCGATTTTTCCTTATAGAATTTTGTGATTACTTAAGCAGGATCTCGTTCAGTGATCAGAATGATGTCTTTGAATCAGAGTAAACTGTAGTAGAGGTTCAAACGATATGCTTCCCTTCCCGATTGTTAGTTGATTTCTTAGCTAGCAGCGGCGAATGTATTGCTCTCACGGAGATGAATTGCACACAGCGAGCAGTTTTCGATTCTCAGTTTATCAGGTGACTAGGAACGAAATCTGTGATTCTAGCAATTAATATTGCAAGAGGTAAGTTCCGTTCCGCATGTTGGAAGCGTTCATTTCTTGTCTGTAGAAGGTAGGTTACATATTGTCTGCCGTACTGTAGTGTTTCGATGTACTGATGGTCACGGAAGCTCGCCTCCAGAGGAAGGAGACGTACGACCTGCAGGGCATGTGGTCATTTTAGTGGTTTGGCCACAGTAGATTACACCATACCAGTCTATCAGTATATCCTCTTGTTCTCTTGGGTAAGTTGGATGGTCATTTTGATGGAACAAATGTTGGAGAGAATCCTGGTTTGCCGGATGAATTTCATTGTCACACATTCTCTGACAAATGTGTCTAGTTGCAGTGACGAAGACGTATTCTATGACTGCTTTCAGTCGACTGTTATCGCTTTATCATCTGATGACGTCACAGTTGTCAACGGCGGCCTTAACGCGAAAATAAGCGTCAATTACGGTACACGATCAGACGTACTTAGCTGTCATGGTACTGACGGCGCAAATGACAACGGCAGACGTCTGTTAAGCATTTGCGTGGCAGACAGCTTAATCGTCGACGACTCTTTCTTCTCCTGAGCGTTTTCACCAAATCATCTGGACGACCTCAGATGATGTGCTAAACATCCAACTGATCCACTTCGTTGTCAGCCGCAAATCGCACGTCTAGTGACTCGAGACGCGCGTCAGTTCCGATTATGATATGGTCATAACAGAACTTGTGAAACCGCTGGCAAGTCAATTCTTCCTCTCTAGTTAGCCAGTCGAAATGTACAAACAGCACTGAGTGCCAACGGTTACATCATACGGTAGAACTGTCAGAGAATGTTAATCATCTACCGTACTACTTATCACGAAGTCTTCGCTTGCAGCTAAGTGGACATTTCAGGTATAGACGAAGGTACATATAGCCGCTGAGCTTATTCAGTTTATTTTGTTAGTGTTTACGCTGATAATTTAGGTGTTTATTTTGTTAGGTGTTTCCGCTTTGTACATGGCTGTAAAGTTTCAGTAAAAGTTCAGCCGCTGGCATTTCTTATGGAGGAACTGCAGACTTGATTTTCTTTAACGGAGTCAATTTTTCAATGTGTAACGCAGATCGGGTTTACAGCAAACGAAATTTTGTCTCGTGCTTATGTTATGATTGCTGTTCAGTCACTTGAAGGTTATTTCTTAAAAACAAGCATTCATCGTTCTTTTCGTCATATTGGTTTGCACTACCCAGTGTTGCACTTCTATGTACTGTTTCTGCTATCAGATAATATATTGATAAGTTTTAAGCCAGATCTTTCCTCAACGCATTTAATATAGATGTCTGAGGCCCGACCGTTGTCATTCGCATTGTGCAATATGTGGCGTAATCTATACCAGTGATTTTCACTAATTAAGATAATCTAATAGCCACCGTCCACGTTTGTGTCTTTTACTCTCCGTATTAGATGTAGATTTAGATGCACGGCTTCTAAGGCCAGTCGATAGCATGAAGGACCAGACGTTCTTTTTGTCCAGTATTTCTCAAGCAGCTCTTCGCAGGACAATGTTCCCGTTGTCGAAAATTCTGAAAGGAGAGGTGCGCAGAATCGCGAAAGAAATCGGATTGGGATGGCTGAACGAAAAACGCGAAAGTACCGGCATATGCATGATCGGTAAAAGGAACTTTGCGAAATTTATCGAAGAAGTAATAGCTTTGGAGCCCATGTCAGATGGCGTTTTAAATTTTTCCAAGTACATTGCAGAAAAACCGGGGAAGATAATCGACGTCGATTCTGGGCAAATAATCAGCGAGCATAAAGGTTAGATGATGCCTCAATTTTGAATACATGGATTGATCTGTTGCATTAGCCGAACTGACAGTTTTGTTCAGGAATACATTATTTCACGATGGGACAGCGCGTGAAATTGCCAGGTCAACGTAATGCTCATTTTGTAGCCAAGCTTTCGGCCAAAGACAACATTGTATATGTGGTAAGTTGTTCTGTGGTCTGTTTGTACAATTTTCTCACAACGAGTTGATCATACTTCCAACCAATTGCTTCCCTTTCAGATATCCCTGCAAAGTTCTGATCCATGGATATAACTTCCTAACCAGAGTCGCTATAAATTTTTTCCGAATGCTTAACGCCAGGCGTAGCTTTCTTCTGCCTTGCATTGAATGGTCTTATCGTTGTTGTGTGACGTTTTTCGATGCGGTTAGGCGGTTTACGTTTTCGATCGGCACCAACTACCACTGACTGTGGAGAAGAACTTTTCTTAAGTAATAATCTCGCAATTTCTGTCTGCTAAAATCTTCTTCACTCTTACCACTAAGTCTTCTTGGCGAGTGTTCTAGTTGTCGATGATCTCGCATGGTGCATACGATTGTCTGTCAGTATTTTCACCACCCGATCCAGTTCCTCTCAAGATATCCGGAACAACGTGAGAATATGGAACTTATAGGTATTATTGATGTAACCCAGGAGTTTATAGCTCAGATTTTTTTCTTCGAGTTCCTCTAAGATTTTCATAACTTTTCTATTATTTGTAAACTATTAATAAAAATGCTATTTTAATTTTTATACGGGTAACAGTTCTTCGTCAGGATAGCTTTTGAAAGCTTTACTATGTAGAAATGTTCATCTATCCAACATTTGCTGTTGCACTGGATTTGTCTTCAGGCTTGGTCAAAAGCTGTTTACAAAAATCTTTATGTAAACCATTAATCAGTGCGATTCGAACCGTCATCTGGCAGATTCTGTGTTACATTTATATGCGGTGTGAACCACAAGTCCTGTCATTTCTTGGGATCACGGCGTAGTCGAGCCGTCTTTTTCTTTGTAGCTTATAGATTCTGTAAAGCAGGCTCAATGGTATTTTAGTACCTGCAGTGCATGTGCGCAAAACCTCACCATTTTTGGGCAGAACAATAGCCTATTCGAACAAGGCATATATAATAATAATTACGCTTACTGACATGTGTTTGTTATTCTTATCAGCGGGATCGAAAATTATCAGTTTCTGCTCGTAAATACCTAATAATTTGATCAAGTTTTAAAATGTATGTCTACGGATTTAGACATATTGGTTGGTGTTGGTGGAACATGCTTTTGTTCAACTTAACAAAATGGTGTTGGTTTGCGCCTATGGCCTGCTTAAACGGCTCTCTGTGATGCTACTCTGACCAGTGGGACGTTGCGACTACGCTGTTTAAATCCTGAGAAGTAGCTTCAGTTTGTTATTCTTACCTTCAATTGCCAGTAAACCCATAACGCCAGGGATTCGTGCTTCTGTTCTGTTCAATGTTCAAGGGTTTTTTGGAACGATTAGATGGAACTGTGGCATCACCGACTGTTTTACCCGCTTTCCTGGTTAGATTTATTGGTTTCTACCGAACCTGACGAAGCTTACACATATTTGTTTGTGTTCACTGATTGATTTTTTGCTTAGGCATCTTCCAGTTTCCACCCTGCTCTTTACGGTAAGCGTCTAATCGTGTCTGACCCGCACTGGGTATTTGGTTCACCGCCGGAGAACTTGCAAAAGAACGGAAAAATGATATGCAACTTTAAATTTCAACACGTCCAGCGAATGGTCCGGTGCCAGTTAGGATCTTGTTCGAATCCCGCTGATCTCTGGGTCACTTTGGACTTCCCTACACGTTCTTTGTGCTTGGGACAGTTTGCCGTTTTCTACGTCGACAATGAATGTCTGGGCTCCGCCGAGATCACGAGAGTAGAACCGCTGTGGTATCCATTGTTTTGACACTAAAACTTGTGTATAATTTTTGAAAGTCTTTTTACTTAAAAACGAATAAAACAAAATTTACAGTCCTGATATCAGTAAGCAATGCACAAAGGCGAACGTATGCCTCAGCACTGTCTCTTCGTTTTAACCCAAACAGTTCTGTAGGATAAGATTTGACGATTAGGCTTCGAGACGAACAAGTCGAACCGATAAGTGGTGGCGGGCCTGAGGTTGATGATCGTTTCGGTCATAAGCATCTCGCTGTCGTTCGTCACCTGAAAACGCCTGCAAAAGACTTTGTCCATTTTGGCTGGTGGCCCTTGGCATTTGTTGGACTCTTCCAGTATAAGTTGTTTGAAGTAGTCATCAGTCTCCATGCGCTTGTAAAGACAGTATTCGTGCTTTTCGGTCGAACCTAGCCATGCCAGGGTGACTGTGTCACACGTTCTGCTGTACTCGAGGACCTTGATGCTGGTGTCAACAGGCAGACGCGGATACGGGTTTCTGGACGGCTTCACTGACCCCCAGATTTTGTAAATCTTTGCGTCGTTATCATCGTTGACCACTTTGATCTTCAGCACGCTCGGCTTTACATTGGTTATGTCGAAAACTTTCAGTTCCTCGAAAACCGTACGTCTCAACAGTTGGCCGTTCTGATAAATGTTGACGCGGATGTAGCCGCTGCATGGCTGTACGGTTATTAGGATGTGTTTGTAGAAGTGTTGTACCGGAAACTCGTACATTCGAAAAGCAGCCCTCGCCGGATTGAGGAAGCTGGCATAAAGTTGGCCGTCTACAAGCCTGGTGATTGTGTTCTTCCACTGCTGCTCTTTGCGAGTTACGAACGACGCGCCCTCGTAGCCGAGACTGCCGCCCGTATCATTGCGGATCACGAAGAGACTTATGTAGTACTTGGTGTTCGGCTTCAGGTCGCCAAACTGGAAGCTGGTCTTGTAACGAGAACAGGCGACGAACGGCTTCACGCGAGGCGTCGTTCTCTGCTTCTCTGCGTTAATGTACGACGAGAGCCAATTGTACTTCATATTGTTCTCTTTGACGACCTCTTTGGCTGCTGCAGCGCGGTACGGGTCGCGGTACTGTTCGATCAGCTCACAGTACGTGGCGTAGTCCTTGATGTCGCTCAGCACCAAACAGTACTGCACGTCGTCCTTTTTCAGAAAGTTTACCGAAGGACTGTGTTCCCAGGACACCGCCACTGAATTCGTCGTGATATTGTCCAGATTAACTCGTTTTCGTCGCGGTAGCCTTGGGAAGTAGTCGTCCTCTTCGAGATTAGTCGTCACGTGAACCGTCACAGCCGTGTCACCCTCAAGAGCGGTCATCGATAGTCTGAGGTTCGTGCGTGGAAGGTCATCTGAAATATACTCCATCTGCCCTCTACCCACTTCCCTAACCAGAGTGTTGTAGTCGATCGGGTTGGTCGTGCTTGACAAAAGTTGACCATACTTCATCGAAATGCTTTGCAGATGGTTCAAGTTCTCAAGGTGTACCATTCGAAATATATCGTACGGCGAATGCTC